AGAAAAACTACCGATCACCTTCCGGTAGAAATGTGTCAAACCCGTACTTGACGTTGCAAGAGTGGGCCCGATATCTGTTGAGCTCATTTTTTGGAGTCAACATTATGTGTGATTCAAGAACTCTAAACACAATCTATTCCACAAAATAGAATTGCATACAATAAGATCTTTACTTTTGAGTGAATTTAATTAATTTAAATATAAGCATATACTGAATGATATAAACCTATAATAAATGAGCACTTTGTTAGGTTGCTTTTGACAAAAGTGAATAAATTTGTTAATGAGTCTGTGGAGGTCCCCCAGCAAAGTGTTTGGGAGTTCCTTTTCTTCTCCATTAAAGCTTGAAAAGTAGGATTTTAACTGCCTGAATTATAAGTTATTCGTTTTACAATGAGAAAAAGTCTTTCAACACCCCCTTTCTCCTCCATAGATTTGGCAGGCTAACCAGTTGTAAAAACTCTTGCACAATTTACTAAACAAAGAAAAGGAAAACATATGACATGTTAAGATGGACAAGACATTGTCGAACATGAAAAGGGTTTATTAGGGTTTATACTTGTACTGAAAACACGTTAATCGGTTTATCGTAGCATAGTACTAGAGCATGAAATAATAATTAATTAAATTTTATAATGTTGATTTTTTATTTTTTTTATTTCAATAAATTTCGACATCCCATTTACCCAAAAAAAAAAAGAAAAAGAAAAAAGAAATCATGTAAAAAGAAATGAAACTAAAAGGACTGCAAAAGAGGGTCAAATTTAGGTCTTGCCCAAAAAGACTATTTGCAAGATAGAAAGTGATACTCTATACGCGTGCATAGATTCACCATCTTCAAAGTAATAACAGTAAAAGTAAAGAGAAATAAGTTGTCAAAAAGTAAAAGTTTCCTTTATATGGAAACAGAGACGAATGAGAAACCCTCATTGCTTGGCCTTGCTAGAAATTTTTCTAGTTGCAATATAGAAAAGTGTAGAAATAAAAAACTTATCGACTAATCGAGTCTTGTGACAACACAATGTCTTAAAACAAAATTACTCGTCGATAACTGCTGCGACATCTGTGGATAATCACCTCCAGGATATAACGATTAAATAAATTAATTGTGCAGCAATCACAAATGATTTTCAGAACTCTCAAGTATACTCCAGAAAATATGTAAAATAGAGTATAATATTTTTTCTGAATAGGAAGATACAATTTCGTTTTTTGTTATATATTTCTAATGCCCAGATGTGTTTTTATATAGGCAGAAAAATGATATAATTGCCTCCACCATGATTCAGTATTTATTTGTAATTTTTATGGCTATTGATAATGGGTTGTTAATATTGGATAATTAAAAACTGTCATATTTTATTGGTTAGTTGACTCATTAAATAATTTTGAAAATGATTAAAAAATAATAATTTATTATTAGAATCAATTAAACCCAATACCCCAATCAAATACTTTTAATATATTCGTAAGGTGTGACTCGAACCCCCAACCTCCCACATAAATTCCACACTTTTCACTAATTGGACACTTCATCTGAATTAATTATTTCTTTCATATATTATATTTATTGTATAAATATCTAATAATCTCCCAAATGAAAGAAATAAGATAAATATAAATA